TCCGTCTTGGAGTCATACCTCCTTTACAACTGTGCTTTTGTTCCTATTATTTTTTCCGCTTTTGCTTGACCTGCTTTTCCTCAGAATTCAGCTTTTACCTTTTGACAGCCTTCTAAAGAGTTCAGATCTCAAACACTCTCACTCCTCACTTTCCTTGGATATTTCCACTTTTTCCAGCTAACCACCGTCTGTGTTCCACTGGGTCTCTGATGTTTACATCAGCAACCCCCATGACTTTTACCCACAGAATCAGCTAATACACAACACTGTCCCACCACAACCACCCTTTCCTGATTCCCTAACACTTTACAGGCTGCCAGCCAATGAAGAAAGATGACATTTCTAAACCAAAACCCTAAATTTCTACCCTATTTTTTCTTTAATCCTCCCCTTCCTGTTCCCACAATCTAAATAATTAGAAATTCTATCGCCATAGTCACTACCATCTCTCAGCTGAACTATCCACAAAGGTTTCCTAAATGGCCTCCTGTTTCTTGGATCCCCATCTATGATTAATATAGAAGACAAAGTCATCTTTTTAAAACAAAATCCAGTATGTGACTATCTGCCTATAACTACTTCCATGGCCTCACACAGTGCCCTGAACGAAGTACAATCTCCTTAAGGAAGCCTGAGCCATCAGACTTCCTGACTGCCTCTCTCCTACCATAAATTTCAACTCTCTCAGTCTATTACTCTGCATCCCTACTGATATTCTCTTAGTTATCAGAGCTCTACTACCTTCTTCTGGTCCTAAATAGATGAAGGTATCTCTTACAGATAACTATGTAATGATTTCTTCCCCCTCCTGCCTTAACTTCAATGTTACCTCAACAGATAAATTCATAAACATAGGATTTTAACAGGTCAAAAAAAACCCACATTTTTAATCCTAAATTATTTAATTTTCACATCTATCTATTATTCTACTCTCATGGATACCAAGTTCCCTTAGTTGCAAGGATATTATCTCCCTGATCAACAGGAAATGCTTACTGTCTAGGACAGTCTTATACACATACAGGAGACAGTCTATAGACTTCAGAGTTCACAGTTGCATATGCCATGGTCTCTGGCCACTAAGCCCAACACCCTAATTTGCAACATATCTTTAAAAGGATATGTTTATCAGATATACTCAGTGCATCCATTTACTTCATATGGCCTAGCCTTTCATCTTAGAATCCGCTTAGATTTCTGTTCATTTTTTTTTGGATCAAACTTTGGTACACTTAACTCTTCACACACACACACACACACACACACACACACACAAACACACACACTCAATCAAGGCAGAAGCAATTATTCCTTTTGTGTTGTGCACCTTTAATAGGAGTTAAATACTTGCATCACCCTGAGGCAAGATACAAAGACAGAGAATTATGGCAATATGGGAAGGGAGAGTAAACCCTCATGCAAAGCTTCTTACTGAGTGAGAGCCAAGAATTGCAGCATAATTAACATCTTCTTTAAAGACTGCTGACATAGACAGTGTTCCTTTCATATAAAGATGGATGTTAAATGAACCATGCTTAAGGCCTAAGCCTATGTGACCTTCAAGTATGACCTCTCTCATTTCGTAGATATTTTGGGAATCTCAAAACCAAGGATTAGCTTCATTTTAGAGTACAAAATATCTTCTTCTGCAACCCTTATGACCCAGGATTTTACCTTAACAGCTGCAACCCTATCCAAGGAAAAGGTCCTGCTCTCTGATCTCATTTTGTTCTCTTAACAAGTGTCTTCAGAAGGCTTCCCTAAACAGCAGCTATGGAGACACTCAATCCTGATCCTCCCTGGAGAAGCTCACACCCACACTCAAATATGTATCTCTCCTCCCTTGAGGACCAATCAGTGTCTGAAATCTCTTGAGTATCTTTTGAGAAGCTCCAAGTCTTTCCCAGAAAAGACTTCTGGGAGCTTTCCCAGAAATTCTCTTCTACAGCCAGGTCAAGGATCCAGTTTTACCTGAGTGTCACTAAAACATTAAGGAAAGTCCTTAGGCTGCTTCAGGCAACATAATAAGATGATGTCTCCATCCCCACAGTTATTGACAGAATTTAGTTGCTTATATAGTATATGGAGAGTGAGAAAATCCCCATTTCATATTTCAATCATCCAAATCTATGGTAAATGAATAAATGATTGAGTTTATCGAAAATGATGGTATTCAAGGAATTTTCATTTTCTTATACAAAACTGGAAGCAATTTCCTATTTTTTCCTTAGACTCTGGAACATAAATCTACTCATCATTTACATTTCAAAGCAGATTATGCCTGGAACCTATAGGATATATATCAAGTCCCATCACTCAGAGATTTATTACTTGCTAGAGGTTATTAAAATTTCTGAATTAAACTAAACATGGATCCAATCCAATTAAGCCATGGCTAAATGGACCTGAATAGAATCTCTTTAAAATAATAGGCCTGAAATTATGTGGAAGAGCATCTTCTTGAGATATCACATTTTCATAATTATTAGTACAATATCCCAAAGCACATTTAGTTAGTACTTAGCGCCATCATCAAAAATAATGATAATATATTCAATATGCTGGACACAGTGTGACCTATTTCACTAAGTACAATTATTACTGAAAGGGAATGAAAATTCCATGAAGGCCTTCTGGTTATACAATCCACAAATGAAAAGCTGATTCAATGATCATGGAGCAAACTAGCCTGCCACTTTGATCTTGGACTTCTTTCTCCCACACCTGTGGGGAATAATGTTTGTTGTTTAAACCATCCAATCTACATTACTTTGTTACAGCAGCCGGAGCAAAATAGGACAGTAGGTTTGGTGGCAATACTTTAAGACAATTGGCTACTGGAATTACTGTGTAATACACAGAGTTGTTCAAAATGAATACCAGGTTCAGTTGCAGACCTGTTGTCAAAAATGAGAAGCTTATAGAGATTTTTATTGCCTATGTATTTCCAAAGCATATGCTCCTGAGAGAGGGAGAGTGCTGAGAGAGCTTGCACAAACAAGCTCTCACACAGGGTGTGCATTCATATTAGTGTGTGTGTACACATGTAACCATTATAAATTAAAGATACTTTGGGAAGGGGACATGGGCAGTGTCGCAGGGGGAGTTGGGAGCACAAGGGTATAGATTACCTGGAGAAAGAGGAAACAGCAGCAGGAGTAGGAGGAAGGAGGAGGAGTGATACAGATGCGTGCACATGTATGAAGTTCACAAAAATAAAGTTATTTAAATATGTACATAAATGTATATATTAACAATATGTAGGACATGTTTCATCTGGATTTGCTGTAATACTTTAACCTTTCCAACACAGTAAAATGTCATTAAAACTTGTGAAATTCTATCCCTAAGTAAAACCTGACTACTCAAGCTATATTTTAAAATAATTCTGAATGCTTTCATCTCTTCACAGAAACCATGAATATCCGATAACATGTAATACTCACAAAGGATTCCGAGAACCACTCTTTATATTCTACCAGCAATGTGTGTATGTTTTGCATTTACTGTAAAGAGCTTACCACATCAAAAAGCTCCTGATGTGCGCATGCAAATTTTTTCTAGTTTTTAATCCCAAAGTAGAATTCAGAGATGTATAAGTATAGAAGTATAGTTTTCAAACACATATGTCTATATAACTACATCGTTATCAGGATATGAAACATGGCTTTCAACATAAGAAGCCCCTTCATGTCTTTCCCCATTGTGCTTTTTCCCTTCCCTAACTTCTTTCTATTTTGGGCCTGGACAATTATTGCAATGACCTGTCACTGAAGAGTAGCCTAGACTGTTTAAACTCAATATGAAAGTGCTAGGCATGAGAAACCTCCTTTCTAGTTGTTAGTGATGGAGTCTAACGACCCCCAAAAGGATATAGATTATTGTCACCGCCCGTGGTAGCTCCCAGAGAAAGGAGGTAATCACTTATTGCTGAAGACACACATACTTATGACACAGGGTTTGGAGGAACTGAGCTGGATCTGATATGGAAGCCTCCTCAACTGAGGATTAATTCTGTAGTCTCACAAGGAGGCATGAAAGCTGCTCATGAAGAAAAGCAATCAGTAGTCCTATCTGGCTATAATGCCAATGAGCCACAACAATGACCAGCATGGTAAAATATCTGGATGGGTAACAACAGTGACACTTACACCCTGGGGTAACCAACAATCATGTAATTGAACTTAAGACCCACTCAATAGGAAGAATCCATGCATGGCTGTAAATTTAGCTAACTACCAATGGCTGGTAGTTAGCTACCATGGAACTTAGAGAAGAACCTATTACTGCCACTTTCGTAAACCAGTATAATTTGTAACAGCATTCTACTCACCTTTATATCAACAGATAAGTTTAGCTCTCACTCCTTATCAACAAAGCTTCCTCTTGGAGCAGACAGAGATCCTTACAGAAAACCACACCTGGCCCAAATGTAGACAGTACAGTGCCCATCTACAACACAAGACTTACAAGTAAGGCTTGAGGAACATTTTGGAAGAGGAGGCAAAAAGACTGTAAAAACCAAAGGACCAGGACATCTGCTATAAGATAATCTCTTCTAAAGAAGTTTTTTTTAAAAAATACAAAACCAAACCAAAACATAGAAGAGAAGGAAAACAGACACAAGGCAGGGCTAGACCTTGGTGGAATTAGAGAAAGAAGGGGGGGATATGAGCAAGATACATTGTCTTAAATTCTCCAAGAATTAATAAAAATATTAAATATTGTTAAAAAAAGACTCTCAGGTAGATTTACCTCCTATATTTTCCTTACACTGCTTTTTATATCTTTTCTTATATATATTAGCAATTTAAAATTTTTAATCCCTTAATAATATCATTACCTTCTTTTTTCAGATGATCAAACACAGCAGAACAAATGAGTAACCTTTTCACAGTCTCATGGCTGAGAGAGGAGAGCTGGACTGTGAACCCAGGAACTTTGACTTTTATAACCACAGTTTAAACCGCTTTGTTTTACTTCCATTTAAAACTGCTGTGTGGTATAAATTTGTAAAGCTATTTTCAACTAAAACAGATCTAAAAAGCCAAGTGACAAAAGAGAGATGCTTATTGACACTCCTGCCATCTTCAGAAGATGCACAGAAACAATAGTGAACCAAAAAATCAGAATATGATACAGATACGCTTTAGGATACACGGGACCCAGATCTACAGGTAAATACACACTTGGAGAGTGTGGAAACCTGATCAGCCCCTACTCTTACATGCTACAGGTAAGAACAAATGGGCCTGCAACATTTAATTGTTCTGTAGATAAATCTGGTGGGGAAAATATCTCTAGCATGGTCTGTCTGCAGTTGATAATAAATAAATAAATAAAATAATTTTTACTGAAGGTTTTATTGTGTGCCAAGCACTGAGCTGAAATATGAGACATGTTATTTTAACTAAACCTCACAATAAATATAATACAGATGGACATATTTAGATTGCCCTAACTTGATAAAGATCCTATTCTTCCACATAAAACCTGTCCTCAAAGCTATATTTCTATAGAAAATGTGATACAACCCTAGAAGACAGAAAAATGAAATAGTGAATAAAATGTGAACACTATTTCAATGATCTAAGGGTTCTTTTTAACAGTGATAACCATGTTCAAAGATTTGCTTTAACTAAAAAACACTGAGGGTCAGCCCACATGTGTAGACAGGTTGTACGGGAAGGCACTGGGCTACAGCTGTAACATTTTGAATATTGAAAGGCATGGTATCTGATCGATAGGAATCTCATCAGATAGCCCGAACACTAGCCTCCTCAGTTCTCCATAAACAAGGTATAAGCTGTCCAAATCAAGTTTCCTTGCTATTTTAAATTAGGTTTTGGGGAAAAACACATTTTTAGATGCATTTGACCTGATCTGTGGACACAGTTTACATCCGTTATCCAGTTCACAATCACATTTTGAAAAAGCATTTGTATAATGCACTGAAGCCTGTGCTGCATACTTGGAAGGAAACTGGCCCTGCTGCAGTCCACATCATTTCCAATTGTATTAACTAGCCCTTCATGTGATCCACAGTGCACAGCATGTTGCCAATGAGACATGAGGAGAGGGCAGACTTAAAACCAAAGGCAGAGCCTTGACCTACACCACTCCCCAAGGAGACGGTGCCCTGAGAAGGTAGGTACCTGGAGTTCAGCTGCTGGATGAGATGGGTATCTATAAGCCTGCCTAACTAGGCAGAATTCTTTTCCTTTACATCATACTCTAGATCAGAGGTTCTTAACCTGTGAGTTCCGACCCCTTTGGAGCTGGGGGAATTCGAACCACCATTTCACAGGGGTTGTGTATCAGATATTTAAATTACAATTAATAACAGTACCAAAATTACAGCTATGAAGTAGCATCAAAATAATTTTATGGTTGGGGGTGTCACCACAACATGAGAAACCCTATTGAAGGGTTGCAGCTTTAGGAAGATTGAGAAACCCTGCTCTAGATGCTAGACTACCTCAATAGCAGGAAACCAAAACACACCAGTTTGCTTTTCTTAAAATAAGGAAGAAGGAAGGCAAGAGAAGGGAAAGAAGAAAGGAGGCAAAATGGGAGGGAAAGGTGGGAGGAAGATGGAGGGATCCATAGAGCTGGGCTATTAAAGGCTTAATCTGTTCCAAGCCAAGTGAGCCCTGAAGTCTTGGGCCATGGATCCCTTTTAAAGGATGGCTTTTCTTCTGTTTTCTAATTCTTTTTAGAGGATGCAAGAGTGAGAGAATACATCTGTCATGAAGGCCTCACAGAGCTCCCAGGACTTTGCACCTGTCTCAGGTCTTCCATTTCTGATCAGTAGCTCTCCTGGGTCTACCCTGCTGCATCCTAGAATGTCTAACAGGGTTAAATGCTAACTATGTTGGATAAAAAATTAAAAGCCTTGCCTACTCTGTGTCAAAGTACACTTGGCTGGCTTCCATTACACCATTATGAAATTGCCTGAGGAATACATTATGTAAGCATGCTCTGTGGCTGGACTAAAGATTACAGAGTCCACATACAATTAAGAAGAAAACCCTCTCAGAAATCAGCAAATCTAGTCATTTCAGGAAGAGAAACGGCAAGGTGAGCAAAATTAAAGCTTGCTAAGCTTCCTCATAAACACACACTACATTCCTCTGAATGCCAAGTCCTTCTGAATCACACATATCATTGCTACCGACTCAGAAAAAAACCCACACATGCTCCATCTCTTCCCAGCACAGAATGAATCTTATCATTTTGGAAATGCTTGGCTATTCACTTCAGCAGTGTTTCTTTTATGAGTCAGCTGTTGTAAACACTGCAAAACCTCACAGAAAGTTTCACTGGGGGGGGGGAGAACATTTACATACACTAATCTGGCAAAAAACGACTTGACAAATCACAGTACTTCTACTTTTCCTTCAGTTTTTCTTGACAGTTGGAAATGGGTACACGTTGTAATTTATCTGTATCTATTTTCTACCTTAGTAATGTCCAATAAAATCATCCAGACAGCATAATAGCTAAAAGGGCAATAATGAAAAGTGCCCTCAATCTTCAGACATGTGCATAAAATGTGAACAGTGCAAGAAAGTGTGTGTGTGTGTGTGTGTGTGTGTGTGTGTGTGTGTGTGTGTGTGTATGCATGTGATCTATGCACATGACTCGTGACTGGTAAGGAAACCTGAACATATTTACAGACGCTTCCATGAAAATGACCAATAAAAATGTCTGCACTGACCCAGCTCCTTCCATTTCCCTGACTAGAGAACTGATTTGGAAAGTCACTGAAGACAATGAAATCCAACAGTGGGAAGCAGTGGAGTTTTGAAGTCACGAAAGCAGAACAAAAACACAAATGACCCATTGCAGCCAAACAATACTCCACAACATAAAAAATAGGAAGAAAACAAGCAGTGAGTCCCAAGGGGTAAAAGGATCAATATGGGAACTATCCCAAAAGCCGCATATCTCAGAAATGCAACTAAACAAAGCTTCAGTGGACTGTCAAGGATGAGAAAGAGGAAAGTAGCACTCATGCTGTGTGTCTTGTTAATACGTGGTGTTCCATAAGTTTATGTCACACTACAGGATCACAAGACTTCTAGTCTGCTTTAAATATGAAGTCTCTGAACTGTAAAACACTGTGTCTGCCGAAGACTGGATCAGATACTCAGTGTTTCTCTGAACTGGTGTATATTCATTTATCTCTATTAGCTATTTCTTCCCCATTGTTCTCCTTCCCTTTCCTCCTTTCTACACCCTTTTTCTTATGAGGCTTCATATTTCCGGAAACTGAATAATGATGCACACTACCTCAGAATTGAAAACAGTACATGAAACAAAATTAACATAGCTTTCTATTTCATGTTAGTACTCTACTCACTTTAATTTCTGTCCTGACCAGTTTCTTATTGTCATGTAATGCAACCAAGAATCACGTGGGAAGAAGAAACCTCCACTGAAGACTTCCTGCCACCAGACCAGTGTGTCTCGATTGATTTTTGATATGAGAGGATCCAGGCATATGTAGGTGCATCTTGAATATGTAAGCAAGCCAGCTTAGTGCAAGAACTAGGCACTGAGCCAATAGCAAGCCAGTAAGAAGCTTGCCCTGACCATTCCTCCATGGTATACTTGAGTTCTTGCCATGAGTTCTGACACTGATGGAATATGACCTGGAAATGCACTGAAATCAACGTTTTCCTCCCCATGCTGCTTTCAGTCAGTGTTATAAAGGGCATCGCAGAGAAAACTATGGCAATATCCATCATTCACTGTATATAGAACTCCATGATATGTAGACTTTTTTCATCATTTTCTATTCTTCTTTTGCATATAAGATAACTGACTTAGCATCTTCTCTATGGTTCATTCCCAGGCCAAAAAAACAGAGGTAAAAACAAAACAAAAAGGAAAAGGCTTTGAAGGACAACAGGGAAAGTATGTCACTTTGTTCTTCTGCAGCCCTGGACAGATGGCTTTGCTGAAGTAGAAACCTTCTATGGCATGGTAGTATCTCACTGCCTCCAGTTCCTATAGGTTCAGGAGATGAAATTATAGACATGGGAGAACATCTGGATTCAGGAGAATGCACCATTCCTAATATGAAACAGAATAAAAATAAACTCAACATTAAATATTTATTTTAAAGGTTTCTGTCTTCCATTTTAAAAATTTAATCTGTCTGCCATATAAAATCCTAGGTACAATTACTCAACTGATAAAACAAACTTGAGGCTTTTTGTTTTTTCAATTTTTTCTCTAAGGTTTTTATGAAACCAAGTGTTTCTAGGTAGCTCAGGCCAGCTTCAAACCCCAACTATGTAGCACAGGCTGGTTTCAAGCTCTTGCTTCTCTTCCTGCCTTGACTCTCCAATAGGTATGCACTAAGTTTCTAATGGTTTGCATACAGCACTCAAAGAGGATATACAATAGTGGATGTTTTTTTTTTTTTAATTCATTTTGAAGAGGAATGTCATAATGAATTCTTTCTCTTGCCATTCTCTTACTTCTATTTGTATATCCTTTACTGACCTTCACATCAGTAAGTTATAATGTGGAAATATATCAATGTGGTTTTCACATACTCAAAACAACAAAGAAACTTGTTTTGGGAGAATTTTACATGGACTTCTAAACATTAATATTGGAAATTAAATTGTTTTGAAATTTTGAAACTGTATGTGTCAAACTTAAGGACTCATACTGAGTGTGCGTGCATGTGTGCCCATCTATACATGTGTGTGTCCACACATGTGGGAGTCTGTGGTCCTAGATATAGGTCTCCATGCATATATATGCACATGCATGTGTAAACAAGAGGGCAACCTTCAGTGTCATTCCTCAAGTGTCATCCACCTGACTTTTCTGAGACAGTCTCTCATCAGCCTGGCAATCCCTAGGGAGACTCCACTTCTGCCTCCCCAAGACTGGGATGACAAAAGTGTAGCACCATGGCAAGACTTCTCTACATGGCTTCTGGAGGTTGCACTCAATTCCTTACAGTTATGCACCAAGCACTTGGCCTCTCTCCCTGGTTCATCAGTTATTTTTTATTTGTAAAATGTATCTAAAAATCAGTAATATTCTGAAAAGTACCATTAGCAAACATCTGACCCTCTTCTGATTTGTTTATTTTCATTTACCTCACACACACACACACAAAAGATCAATAGCTACTCCATTTCTTACAGTTTTGAGTGAAAGGTAAAAGGTGTGGCCAAGGTAATTTTACCAAGATAGCAAAAGACGAAAATCGCTTCAGTCACTGATCTCACACAAGTAAGGCATGCTATTTCTTAAGTGCATTATCTCATTTAACGATCCCAGAAACACTGTAAAAAAGTTAGACATCCCTATTGCTTCAGTTTTGAGATTTAAAAAAAAAAAAAGAAAGAAAGAAAGAAAGGAACTAAGGCCAGATGGCTCAGTGGTTAAGAATATAAGAATCATCTGTAGGCATGATGACCTGAGTCCAAATACCCAGTACTTATGTTAACAGCCAGCTATGGCTGTTAAGACAGAGGCAGGACAATGACACTCACCAGCTAGTCAAAACAGCCAGACCCCTAAGCATCCAGTTCAGTGAAACGCCCTGTCTCAGGCAGTATGGCAGAGAGCAAAGAGGAGAACACCTGAGGCCACATTCTGGCTCCTCATGTACACAGCACCTGCACACTCACAAACCACATGCACCAAACTAGTATCACCAAAACCACCATGAGCACGAACACAGACAACACACACCACCCCCACGCTCACCACACTTCTTTTAAAAAATGAACAACAGTCAAGGATCACAGAACTTACACAGTAGTAATTCAAATCTTGATCCATCCAGAAAGCCAGACCAAAAGATAGGACACAATGATTTCTAACATACCATTTTGTCCTTCCTCTGGCTTTGAACAAAATAAACATTTTCTCTTAATTTTCTAATATAAGAAAAAGAAAGGTAATACAGATGCCCTTTGTCTAGCCAGCTGAGTGGTCACTATGGGGCAAAGAAAACTCAGCATGGCTGAAGTAAGGATTCCAAGCGCATGGACTGGGAAGCAGATGCTGAGTTCTCAGGTTGTGTGAGCATCCATGTTAAAGGAAGTAATGGGAGCTTACATTCAAGTGCACCCCACAGTTTCAGAAGAGGAGTCCACAAACTAGACCAGGCCATGGAATGGGCAGAGGAACTGAATGACCTTTCTTTTTTCTGCTTCAGTAGTTATCACTGGTGGTTACAGCACCAGCTGTAGGGACATGAGAGGGCAGAGGTGCATCTGGCCCCAGAGTGGCACGCAGACAAAGGAGGGGCATGGTCTAGAAGGTCTAGAAACAGACCTAGTAAGAGAAATTCGCTTTTCAAACTAGTGAAAGAAGAGAAGCTATGCAAACTGCTGCAGAGCACTGGAGGCTTTCTGGGCTCTCTTTTCCCATCCCTTCTCAAAGCCCTGCCTGGACCCTATCTCTAATTCAACAATGATTCAACCCAAATGGGTGGTCTTGCCACATTTTTTCCTTTGTCTCTTATGACTGGTGCTGTGTGTTGTTATATAGTATGTCTGCACCAGGGTGTGAGCCCAAAGAAAACAACCTGAACTTTATCACCACCTCCTTCTTCATGGCTGAGACACAGTAGCAACTACTTGTTCTATTCAAATTAAGAGATGGTTAAAATGACTAAAATACAATATGAGCAAACTTAGTGACCTTGAAACATGTAAATTAATTCAGGCATAACTACTGCTCAGAATGCAGAACTTGAATGTTTGGGTCATTTTGTGGAACACGGATAGAGCACACTGAAAACTATGCTCTATTTCACAAAGAAAGAGAGCCACTGGCACATATCTAAAAGACCAGAATGAGGGGCTAATTACTGAAAACCAAACACTCTTCTCCAAATTTTCTTGCTTACAATAGCCAATGCGTAACCAGTCAT